GTGGGTCTTGAGTTGTGATTTAGAAATGGAAAGAGAGTTGTTGTGAGGTGAGCATGAGCAGTAGCTTAAGGTGAGAGAAAATAAGCACCAGAGAGCATTTGATGGGAAACGTTGCATGTTGACTGTGGTATTGCAAGAAGAGCAAGCGTGGAAATAAGCTCCAACTTCCCTACAGGGAGGGAAAAATCCAGTTGAACTATTCTCCTCTGCCCTCAGGACATGGTCTGGGACATCAAATACAAGACCGTCCGCTGGAACTTTGTAGAATCTTTAGAGCCACCCCAAGTGGTGCAGGTTCGCTGTTCAAGTCTGCTGAAACAGGGCAACGCATATGGCCAGGTCACCGTCCGCATGCACACCCGGCAGGTAGAGGCACCAGTCTGCTTTCCTCCCAGCTTTCTTCACTCTCAGGTTGGGCACCTACCTCTGATTTCTGGGTACAGCTGCCCGGGATTCTGAGTTCTAAGGAAAGGTCTTTCTTACCTTGTCATTGCACCCTTCCCACTGCTGGATGTTAGCTGTACTAAAACAGGTGTGGGGATATTCTTCCCCACCCTTCCTGGACTCCCTCCCACCTCCTTCCACCACCCCGCCCCCCCACCCCCCAGTCAAAAACCCTCTAAGAGTAAAGTGTCAGAGGTTGATCTGTTAGTCTAGATTCAGAATTAAACAACTCTGAGGACTAACCGACTAGATGCTTTCATCCTTGCAGACTCTGGCCATCTATGATCGGTTTGGCCGGTTGATGTATGGACAGGAAGATGTGCCCAGGGATGTCCTGGAGTATGTTGTCTTTGAAAAGCATCTGGTGAATCCCTATGGGAGCTGGAGAATGCATGGCAAGATCATTCCCCCATGGGCACCCCCTAAGCAGCCTATCCTTAAGGTAAAGCAGCTTGCATGGTTTAAGACATGACATTCTAAGCCACTCCTGTTGGGCTCCACCTAGTGGACAGAGAGGGTGATGCACCACCAGGAAGAGGAGTCCTCTTGTTGGCGGTGGGCACGGAGGTGGGCGTGGAGGCGGGCATGAATCTCTTAGGTAAGCCATGGACTTGGATAGTAGATAACTCAGTATCCTGCTCTTTCAGACGGTGATGATCCCTGGCCCCCAGATGAAACCTTGGGAAGAGTATGAAGAGCCACAAGGAGAGGCCCATAAGCCTCAGCTAGCGTGATGGCAAAAGTGACTCCTCGGGTGAAGCGTGGGTGGTGATGTGGCTGGAAGCTGTGAAGCCTGGGAGTCTGGGAGCTGTGAAGTCATCCATTTTCTTCATGCTGTAGAAAGAGCTACCTTTGTTCTCTCTTGCCCTGCTTGGGTCTTTTTAGCAGTCTCATCCTCAATAACCGCTACTGATGGTTGGGCCCTAGTGGGTTGGTCCTGTGCACAGCAATGGACCTACTTCTTCTTTTTTTAGTCTTATATGTAGCTTCTAACTCTAGATGAAAAACAGTATGTTTCAGAGAACATCTGATACCAGCCTTTCCGGCAGCAAGAACTGTCAGGAGCAAACTGGCAGAACTTTCTTTCTAATTACAGGGCAGGATCAGAGTTTGAAATAAAACACTATCAGGTATTGGACAAATGTGGTGGGTTCTGTATATTTCTCCTGGTTCAGGATGGAAGTAGACCAGCCTTCAGAGGGCAGAAGTGGAAGTTATCTTACTTGTGAGTGATGTGACTTACAGGAAATCCAGACTTGGGAAAAATAATTAGTGTTTATAAAAGTGGCATCATTTAAGAGGGTCTTTTCACATACACTGACTCACTGAATCAATATTTGTATTTCATAGATGAATGTAAATCCAAAGAAATCATTTAGCCCTCAGCCTTTGGATTTTGTTCTTAATTATCAGCTGCATCCTGGTGTGATCCCAGGAAGCGTTAGAGGAGGAAGGGGCCATGGTAGTGTGGATACACTTTGGAAATCCATCAATAAGACTTAGTTCCCTGATTTCTAGCACCTTTTGGAGATGGTGACTTTTTTTCCAGCCTGAATTTGGAGGCAAAGATACCAGAATATGGACCTATATAGAGTGAAACAGCCCAGCCCCTTCTTGTTCCTTAGCTCAAGCTGGAGGAGGATGTGGGACTTCTCATGCTCGTGTCCTGGGTCATCTGAGGTATGACAAGGGAAATCACTGTCCCAGCAGCAAGCTTGGTTTATAGTACTATTACTTTGATCAGCCCATGAGGGCTCCCCTTAAAAATCAGGACCTTAATTCTTGTGTTTCTGTTTTTCAAATCTAGTATTTTCTTTTAAGGAGTTTTATCACCTGGGTTAAGGATTAATCTGTTCTGACCTTGTCTTGAGAGTACAGCCGAAAGAAACTGGAATCAGGTTGAGAATAACCTGACACCTCAGTCTCTGTAAAGCTACCATTTCAGCAAAGCAGCAAACAGACCAGGCCTCACTGGGGAAAACTGATGTTTTACTAACAGCTGCTGAGTGCTGACCATAGAAACAAGATGTGTATGCTTAGGGAAGAGGCAGCACTAGTAGGTTAATCCACAGCAGCCACCCTCATCATGCTACTTAGTTTCAACCCTTTTGGCTTAAAATGTACATCAGTTTTCAGCATTGCTGCCCAAGTGAGGTTTGATCATATCCTATTTGCCTGAGCCCTGGATTAAGGCAAAATGAGAAGGGAAGTGCTTTGAGTAGGAACCACAGCTGGGGAGTATGGAGTAAGGGGAGGCAATCCTGGGAGGGTAGGGAAACAGAAACAAAGCACACTTAATGGCCTAACGACGTCTTGATTTCTCTGAATATATTAAAAAACAGTGTTTCAAATAAGCTGTTTCACCTCACTCCACCTCACTCCCCTCACTCCCCTGTCTCAGGGTTCTCTAGATAATCCTAAATAGCAGCTAAGCCAGGGAGCCACCAGGGAGCCAGAGGATAAGTGCAATTTTCATTTCCCCTTGGGATCAAATCCAGCTGAGCAAATGGCCCAGATGTACAGGATTGGCTTGAAGGGCTGGGCAGAGACCATCTGCATTGCCACCCATGTAGCTGGGCACTGGCTGAGACAGACAGTCCCATTGTCCTGAAGGCTGCCATGTGGCTACCTTGGGCTTTAGAGCAGGCATTGTTCTTTCCTTATCTATCTACTATTAATGTTTAGAAACATTGAAAAAATAAAATCACCATAATGAATAAGCTAGAAACAACTGCAACAGTCAAGAAAAAGCATTCTTTATTTTTTTTCCCCATGGTTTATTTCACAACTGTGGTTAGAGGGACAACTTTTCTGTTCCCAGCTAGTCCAGACCCAGTGGGATTGTTCTGAGGTGCAGAATTTGCATTGGCTTGGAAGCTGTGAGGCTAACTAGCTAGAGCCCAGAAAAACAACACTTTAGTTACTGCTCTGGAAGCCTAGGGCAGGGGACCTAGGTAAGAGGGGAGGCCTAGATATGGAACAAGGGCCTCTGGTCTCTGAAAGTGGGTTACTCCATTCCTCCTTCTTTTTGGAAGTGGAGCACTTTGCTCCTTTTTCTGTGAAGCCCTGTAGCTGCCCAGAGTGTTTACATGCAGACTGATATTTTCCGCATTGGGTATTTGGTCCCCTTCTTTTGTGTTTTTCCTCCTGGTGAATGGCATCAGTATCTGTCCAGTTAGAGGGTGGGCCTCTGTGCCATGTTTAGTCTGCCTATTTCCACCCCTGCCAATCCTGGGACGTCTGTGACCAATGTTTTTCTCCTTCCTCATTCCCCTCTGGTAGTATCACTTAATTCCAGCACTCTGTTATCTAGTACCACTTAAGTAAGGGTAGCCTGAATTGACTCGAGAGAATTGAACCAAGCTAAGAACGAGAGAGAGCTCCCTAAGAAAGGAGGCTTTGTATTTACACGATGCCCTTTCCCTGGCCCTCAGGCCTCTAACCTGCTTCATAGCACTGCTCTTTCTGAGGGCAGTTAAAAGTGCTGGCTGTAAACAGGACCTCCTTTCTTTCTCGGGAAAGAGACTGATGTGGGCCTCCTGTTACTGAGCAAGTGATTTGGAGTGGTTCTTGCATTGGAACCAGAAATTCCCCCTGGCCCCAGTTGCATTTGACAACAGAGAGGGGTCCCTTTGATGACAGCACTGAAAGGCTAGGAGAATGAGGCAGTGGGGTGAACTCTGCAGACTGGCAAAAGATGGGGCAGGAAGGAGGCAAGGCCATCTGAAAAGGCTTGTAAGAGTCATACTACTTAAACTGGGCTTAAACTGTTAAAGCTGGTGTGGGAAGGACCTGGAGCAATTGCCTTTCCCTTTAATGCTCTCTGTCTCTGATGTTGCTTTGGATGCCAGATGTTGACGTAAGTGTGCTTGATTCGCAGCAGTCAAGCAGGGCAGGTATGAGAGTCAATAAAGCAGAACCTGGAGATCCAAAGTCAAAATGACAGGATCTTTAAGGCATTTCAGGCACCTCTTTTGAGCCATTTAAGCTTTCCCCCGATTTATCTTTGAACTTGAATAAGTGGCTTCTAAGCTTCCCATGGTGACCTTCCTCAGCCCCTATGTTGCCAATGCCTTGTGTGGTTTAGTTTCTTCCCAAAGAATGTCCTTCGTAGGCTTCACAGAAGAATGGGTCTCCTTTTGAGAAAATGTGGGCTGGGCACCGCTGACTTCCCTTTATCACTAACATTGGCTTTACAAGTGAGTGTGCTGTCACAGACAGCTTGTGTTGGAGTATTCTAGCTGGATGGGAGGATTCGTTAGAAGTAGAAGGTCCAGCCCTTGTTCTCTGGAGCAGGTAGAAGAGTTGGAAGTAAAGGGATGGGGTTAACTTTTGCAGTCCGAGCTAAACCCTTTTTGTACAGTTTGTCTTGGAACGAGTTGACTTCTGGCCACCTTGGAGAGAAAGTGGCCAAGTGTGTTTGATTCAGTTTTCTGGAAACACCTAGGACTTGGAAAGGACCTTGGCTTCTAAAAGACAGCCGCCCAATGTTTCACCTCACCTGATGGAGTTGTTACTCCTAGTTCCAAGGACAGACAGACAGAGGGGTACAACTCCTAGTTCCAAGGACAGACAGTTAGAGGGGTGAGTTCTTCGTGTTGATCTTTAGAAGCTACTTGGACTTCGGTTAAGGAGGAAGACTTCTGAGCCTTAGCCTCCTGGAGAGTTGGCTCTGGGACTAAGCTGGTCCTCGGCCCGAGTTCTGAAGGTACTTGGAGTTCTCTGACACCTTCCAGAGTAAAAGTCCTGGCTGGCTTGCTCACTTTGGGGCAGGGGCTTTTGCCTTCTGGAAGGAAGCCACCCGGAGGTCTGTGGACCAAAAGGCATGGTGGGTTCTCAGGGGCTGTGGGGCAGAGTTTTTCTGTCTGAGTTTCTGTTAAAGCCAGGAGGCCAGATTCGTCAGATGGGGCTCCAGTTACCTCCCAAAGACATATCAACATCTGCTGTGGTCCCCTTTATTTTATTTCCTTCTGGATCTGTGACTTCCCATTGACATAGCTCTTCCATCCTGCTCCCCAAACTGCTTGCTCTGTGGGGACTGACTTTGGGTTCATCCATGTCTGGAGCATCTGGCTCGGGGGAGAGCCCTTCTGACCTTGTGCCTTCCCAAGGACAGACCGTCTCTCGCTCTCTCTTGACTTTTACTTCTGAAAAGTGTTCTTCAGTCCCTCCAGATCCTGCCTTTTGCAGGAACATCTCTCCTTGCCCTTGAGATTGTCTGTCCAACTCTTTTTCCTGTCCCCCTTTCTCTGCTGCTCCTTGACTCACCTCCCAAGGGCAGATTTCTGTTTTCTTATCAGAGGGAGCCTCTTCTGCTTCCCATGGACACACTTCTGCTACTCTGGCCCCCACGCTGCCTGCTGCCTCGGAACTTTCTTTGCTTCTGTCAGAAGCTCGTGGGGCTGGTTGTCGACACAGACCCCCACAATCTTGACTCTCCTGGGGACACACAGCCTCCTGTTTCCCATCTGCACTCTCTGAGTTTGCCTGAACGGCCACAACTTTGTGCTCTGGTTTTTCTGGGGCTTTCTCCTTCTCCTCTTGAGGCTCCCCTTCTCCATCCTGTCTTGACACCCCTTCCTCAGGGATTCTTTCAGTCACCTCCCAGGGACAGGTCTCAGCTTTGGCGCCGCCGTCAGGTTTGAGAGCATCCATGGCAGGAGCATCCCACGGGTGGACCTCAGCAAGCCTGCCCCCAGTGCTGAGCAGTGTCTGAGCACCGGCTTTAGGTTGGGCAGGGCAGTGACTGTCTGGGTGGGAGAAAGAGCCCGCCGGGGCCATGCTCTCCTGTAGACAGATAGGTCGTAGCTCATTGCTTGCTTTCTCCCCATCTTCAGCAGTAACTTCTGCTTTTTCTGCTTGTTCTGGGAAGGAGCCCATCTTTGGGTCTTGTGTCAGGTCCCCTTGCTGTGCTGTTTCATCACTCACTTCCAAGGACTGCCCCTCTGCCCCTCTGCCGCTCCCGCTGCTGGACGAGTCTGAGACCTCGGCCTGAGCAGACGGTGTCCTCAAGTCCTTCTCCCAAGGACACATAGCTTCCTGCTCTTGACTCAGTTTTGTCTCCCATTTTGTTACGTCTTCTCCCAGGGAGGTGAGCCTCCCCTTTTCTAGAGTTTTCTCCCTCTGCCCCATGGAATCAGTCCCCATCTCTTGTTCGGATTCCTTCCCGGGGGCTCCTTCATCTACCTCCCAGGGACAGATCTTGGCTTTTTCACTGGTAGGTGCTTCCTCTGCTTCCCAGGGACACACCTCAGCTGGCCTGCACCCCACACGGTCCAATACCTGGAGCCCAGCTTTTGGTCTGTCGGTGCCCAGAGTGTCTGAATGCTGAGAGGAGCCCCCTGGATCCAAGCTCTCCCAGGGGCAGGCCACCTCCCGCTCCCAGGCCTGCCTCTCTGGCTTATTTGGAGCAGTAACAGCTGTCTCTTCAGGTCCAGAATCTGCAGAAGCCCTTCCTGTATCATTTGGAAATTGCCTAATGGCCTCAATTCCCAAAGCCCTTTTCGCCCCTGCTCCAGCACTCACCTCCCAGGGACAGATCTCTGCCTTCTCAGTAGGCAGGATTTCCTCCGCGTCCCAGGGACAGATCTCAGCGGTTTTGCTTCCCGTACTGCCTGACATCTGGAAAGCGGCTTTGGGTCTATCTGTGTCTCGAGGACCAGGTTGTGGAGAGAAGCTGCCAGGGTCCACCCTCTCCCAGGGACAGACTGCTTCCTGCTTTTGCATCTGTCCCTCAGGCTTTTCGCAAGTTGTGCTATCTTTGATTCCTGATGTTCCAGGCATCTTCTCCTTGTCCTTTTGAGATTCTCCTTTTGGTGCCTGTCCCCATATCCAGTCCTCTGTCGTTCTTTCATTCACCTCCCAGGGACAGATTTCTGCCTTGGCAGCTGTTGCTTCCTTTGCCTCTGGCCTGAGATCTTCCCGTGGACATACCTGTGCTGCTCTGCTTCCTCCCTTGCTGAGGAGTTGGCCACCAGCTTTGGATGAGGAGTTTTCTAGATGTGGGCTGGAGTGCCCAGGGGTTGTGCTCTCCCAGGGACACGCTGACTCCTGCTGTTGACTAAATTTCTGCACTGCTTTCCCAGTTTGTTCCCACGTCTCTCCAAAGCTCCCTTTTCTGGAGGTTTTTCCCTTTTCCTGGAGAGATTCTCCACCTGTCCTCTGACTCATCATTTCCTTCCCTACGACCTCATCACCCAGCTCCCAGGCACAAATCTCTGCTTTCCCGATAGCCTCAGTGACGCTACTGCCCAGACCCCCCAAGCACCCGGAGGTTCCTGGGGCCTGAGTAGAGACTGCTGAGGGGCCCCGGAAATCTGTCCTCTCCCACTGACAAAGAGATCCCAACCCTTCACCCAGTTTCTTTTCTTCCAAGAAGATTGCTTTCTTGGGAGTTTTCTGCTTTGCCTGGGGGAGCTTCTTTACTCCCTCCTGGGACGGTTTCTCATTCTCTCCTCCTTCACTTGCCTCCCAGGGACAGAGCCCTGCCTTGGTGATGTCAGATGTACAAGCTCCCAGGCCAGCGGCTTCCCACGGTCGTGTCTCTACCTCTCTAGGCTCCACACTGCCCACTGTCTCAGACCTGCCCTTGGTTCTGTCAGAGTCCTGAGGGGCTGACCGAGGGGACAGACCCCCAGGATCGGCACTCTCCCAGGGACACACTGCCTCCTGTCCCCTGACCAGTCTCTCTGGCTTTTTCTGAGCGATGGCAACCACATCTTTGGGTTCTGATTTTTCTGAGGCCTTCCCCCTCTCATCTTGGGAGGCATCTAGATCTTGCCTCAGTGCCTCCTCCTCAGGGACTCCACTCACCTCCCAGGGGCAGATTTCGGCCTTGTTGCTACTGTCAGGCTGACACGTTTCTGACACGGTGACTTCCCAGGGGCATACATCTATCACCCTCTGGTCAGCACTGCCCAGGGGCTGGAGGCCAGCTTTGGGCAGTTCCCGCCACCCCCCAGGGGCTTCTTTTGCTTGCTTAACATTTTTGTCCCTAACTGTGCCCTGCCTGACTTGCCTCAGTGTGGCAGGCCCTGTTTTACCTGCTCTCGCAAGCTTCCCCTCCCCTAGACCCTGGGATGGCCTCCTGCCTCTGTCTGCTTGTTCCCTACTGCCCTCCTGGTGACAGACTTGGAGCATTCTGCTTGTGTGAGCGTTCTCTTGGTTCTGGAGGGACTCCTCGTCATCACAGGGGGCAAGCGCGGCCTGCTTACTCACTGCCTTGGGGCGGCCTGACCTGGGAGATCTGGGACATGCCCCCACATCCTCTCCCAAAGCTCGGCCCTTCTCTTCCTTCTCAGGACATCCTTCCCCGCTCTCCTTCTCTCTGTATGTGCTCCGAGAACGGGTCAGAGCTTTGATAGCCAGTCCCAGACTACGCATGGAACCCTGCTG